TGGGGTGGGAAAAGGGTTGGGAGGGGGTTCGGGGGACCCTCCTGGAGTGAGAAGGGGATTTACGGACTCTCTTGGGGTGGAAAAGGGGTTCAGGGGACCCTCCTGGGGTGGGAGGGGGCTCTGGGGTGTCCGGCAGCTGCCCCAGCCCGGTTCGTGCCCCCCCGGCTCTGCCGCTCTCCCTCCATGAGGGGCCGAGTCCCCCCGGGATGATTTTTGTCCGACAATTCCCCTTTTCCCCCCGTTTTTTCTCCTCCTGTAGTTCACGTAAAAACTCGTTTCTCTGCAGCCCCGCGGGGTCCGTCGGTGTTTCGGTGGCTCCGGCCGCCCCTTTTCGAACAGGGTTGGCACCCCCGGGGGGGGTCGGTGCCACTCGTGTCACGAGTTGGGAGTGGTCTCAACTGATGGGGTTGGGGGGGTTTTCTGCCTCCAGGCGCTCCTGCCCCGCGCAGACGAATCCGGGGGGTCTCCGGGAGCCTTTTCCGGGCGGGATCCCCCCGGATTCCCCCGGGTTTGGTATCCTGGGATCGCCCCCCGCACCCCCCTTTCCCGGTTTTTGCCATCCCGGGTCTCGAACCCGCGACCTCGCGAAGCCCCGGGCGGGGAAGCCCCGCCCTCGCCCCGCCCACTCATTGATTCTCCCGTCCCATTGGTCGCGGCCCCGTGTCAATCACGGCTGTTTTGCATGGCTCCGCCCGCTCGTTGATTCTCCCTTCCCATTGGTCAGGGCCCCGTGTCAATCATAGCCCCGCCCTTAGCTCCGCCCCCCGCGCTCTGCTGAGGGACCCTGCGGGGACCGGGAACAGGGGAGGGGGTTTAACCCCCCAAAACCCCTTAAAACCCCTAAAAACAACCCCAAACACCCCCAAAACACCCCCCATCCCACACCCACACAGAGCCCAGGGCAGGGGGATGAAGAAGAGGAGGAGGAAGAGCCGTTTGGGGACTCTCCGGTGACCAGAAACCAGGGAAGGGGCTTTAACCCCCCTAAAACCCCTAAATCCCCCCAAAAACATCCCCATCCCACACCCACACAGAGCCCAGGGCAGGGGGAGGAGGAGGAATAGGAAGAGGAGGAAGAACCTTTTATGGGACACTGCGGTAACCGGGAAACAGGGAAGGGAGTAAAACAACCCCAAACCCCTTAAAACCTCTAAATACCCCCCAAAAAAAACCCCATTCCACACCCACACAGAGCCCAGGGCGGGGGGAGGAAGAGGAGGAGGAAGAAGAGGAGGAGGAGGAAGAGCCTTTCTGGGACACTCCGGTGACCAGGAACCAGGGAAGGGGCTTTAACCCCCCTAAAACCCCT